CCAACAACACCAGCAACTACAACAACAACTCAACACGTATACCCAAAACCTGAGATACCCGCCCTCTTCGTCTTCGATCGCACCCCCTTTGGGGTATATATTTCTTACCTGTAACGTATATTTCGTGCAGCCCCTAAGGCAGGGGAAAACAGGACGGATGGAAGGAGGGGACAAAGGGGGGTTGCTGAAGCGTGCGTCCTGCATGAGTCGCGAGGAAATCTCGAGCGATAGCGCGATTCCCAAAGAAATACTGAAGCAATCCACAGCGAGAGCGTGGTTCCTGAGTGCCGAGGGCGCGGCGTCTGAGTAAATTGCGAGGAAGTCCCATGCGAGAGCACGATTCCTGTATACATTGTAAGGAAGTCCCGCGCGAGAGCGCGATTTGGAAATACATTGTGAGGAGGAATCGGGCGGGAGCCGTTGTTGTTGTTGTTGTAGCTCGGGGCCCAACAACGCAGTTCGGTGACCCCTCACTCTCTCTTGGAAAACATGGGGTGCGAGCCCCGGGAGAAGCGCTCGAACTGAAAAACTACAATGGTTACAGGGGGGGGATCAACAATAATTATTTCGGCGGTGGACAGTCCACCCTTTAGTGAACCTCCCTTTGGTGAAAACGGCCTGGGACCGAAACCGACGGACCCGGACCCGCAAAAAGAATGACGGCCGCAACGCCCTCTCGCGAACCGAAAACGGCCAATTCGCTAATCGAAGAGTCAGGGTAGGAGGTCTGTCCACCCCCGATACTGCAGACTACCCCTCGTGATCATTCCCGTTCGAACAGTCTGCTTCCCAGCTCTGCAGCTTGCCTACAGCTCGAACTAAGTAGAGAAAACCAACACCACCTATCTAAAAATTGAAGAGCGCAGATAGTTGCTTAGTCGCAGCTCAACCACAAAAACTCGAAACTGATGCTCATGCCGCTTGTGGCCCCTCTTGTGCCCGTCGGCCCCCCCGCGGGGGCGTCCTGCGCAGCCGCCCGAACTCGTAGCTCGCCTCCGAGAAGGGCAGCTCGTGCAGCCTCTCGCGGGGGGGGAGGGGCCACGCAGAGGGCGCCCCTGCCGCAGGCCCACCACGGTTTGGGTTCAGAGCACCGCCGCTGCCTCGGCGAACCGCGCCGCACCGCCTGGTGCATCGCTGATGCATCGGCGGCGCATCCAAGACGTCGGCGAGGCGGCGCCCGCGCGGAGAATGTTAAGTTGGGTCTGTCCCCCTACAGGGGGGATTGTCGACAAAAGATTAGAAATACGCAAAAAAAGAAAACCCAAAATGATATACATCTATATATATAACACAAAGACAAAAAAAAAAAAACAAAAAACAAAAAAAAAAAAAAAAAAAAAAAAAAAAAAAAGTCCCCAGACTATGTTTTGACAATGTTTGAACACTCCCCCTGTCGAGGGACAGGCCCGACTTAAACGTCGGCGAGGCGGCGCCCGCGCGGGGAACATCGGGCTTCACGGCGAGCCGCGCCGGCGAGGCAGCGGCGAGGCGTGGGCGCTGCGGCGCGGCCCTCCCGGTCTGGGGAGCCCATGGACGTGTGCACCTGCTGCTGGGCGGGGCGAGCAAAGAGCTGCTCAAGAGCGGCACGCCGCGGGGAGGAGGCGCCGCTGCTGGAGCAGCACCTGGCCGTCGGGCAAGGCCGAGCGAGCATGCCCCCAACGGGCTCCCACCGAGGGGGCCCAGAACAGGCAAATACATACACGCAAGTCCCAGGATTCCCCAGATTTTCCCATATCTTCTGGATGTTCGTCTTCCCCCCCACTTCCCATAGTTTCCCATAGTTTCCTGGGGGTCGACGATGAATTGTGTCTGTGTTTTTCTCCCTCCTGATCCCAACGGAGGCGGCGGAGGTTCCCTCCCGGACCACCACCATACCTGACTGACAGTGGCCCAGCACATGCGCACCTCCTGGCCGGGGCCAGGAGTGCCCATACAACGTCCTGGGGCTCAGGAACGGCCATGGCCAGTCCAGAAGTGCTTGTTCACCACCTCCGGGCTCATGCGGCCTGGCGCACCCCGGAGGACTCCAGAACTCTCTGGGGACCATCAGAAGGCTTGAGAATGACCTCCCTGGACCTGGCGGCACCTCCGGGGACCGCCAAGACCTAGAGGCCTTTCAAAGGACCTCCCAGGGCCTCCCGGGACCACACGTCCACATGCACAGCTGCTGGGGTCCTGCCCTGAGACTCTGGGGAGAAGGGGTATGGACACTTGTCCGCCCTCCTGGGGCCGGCAGGTACATACTCAGGTCCACCACTCGAGGGGTCCTCGAGATTCTGGAGCACGACTCCGAGGCGGTGGGTGTGGATACGTTCTGGCGATGGAACACAGCTCGAATGACTGACCAGGGTTGGCCCTGGGAGGAGTTCAGCGATTTGATTGGATCGGGGGCAGGGTCGGGGGGTAGCCTTGAAAGAAGACTGGGGAATTCTGAGAAGCCCCCCATGCCGTCTGCGGAACCCCATTGCAGAAGCTTCGAATACCCTCTGGTTGCTGGATTGTTCTGGTGCTCGGGGGACAGGCCGACATCAGCAAAGGAGCAGCCGGCGGACGAGTGGTCATCGAGTCTCGATCAATCGCCTGGCAGACACGCGCAGCGTGAAGGAGACGTGGCTTGCAAGGCTGGGCGTGCAGCCTGCACAGCAGCTTCGCCATCGCCCGCGAGGCGCAGAACTCGCCCAGCCGGTGGAGCAGGTCGCAGTGCGCGTAGGCGCTGTGAAGCAGGCGCTCCACCGTCGCCGCGTCACGGAACACGAGCTCCGCGGCCGAGGGCTCCTCGCGCCGCCGGTCCACGACGGCGGGCGCCCCGAAGAGGGGCGCCCCCCCAAACGGCGAGACCTGCCGGCTCCACGAGGCGTCGCCCTCCCGCGCAGGACAGGTGTTCATGGTCGAGTCGGCGCTCCACGGGCCCTCGCCCCGCGTGGTGTCCGAGATCGTCTGGCGCAGTGACCTGCTGCTCGTGCGCACCCGCTGGCGCCCCCAGCTCGGGGTGTTCGCGGGCGCCCAGGTCAGCGCGCTGCCCAGCCGGATGGCCTCGGTGAACTCTGCGCGCTCGGCCCCCGCGAGGCTCCGGGCGCCCTCGAGGCCGCCCGGCTGCGGCCGCGCCTCGGCGGGGCGGCAGGCCCTGCCGCCGCGCCGCCGAGCGCGGGGCCTCGCGGCCGTCGTCGCCGTGTCGGTCCTCGCCACGGGCTCCGCCTCGGGCACGGCGCCGCCCCCGAGCACGGGCGCCAGGGCGGGGCCCGCGCAGAGCAGCACCACGCCCACCAGCGCCAGCGTGAGCGTCTCCTGCGAGTCGAAGAGCTGCTGCACCACCCGCTGCAGGAGGCGCGCGGCGAACGGCCGGGACCAGGGCCCCCCGGCGGAGCCGGGTGCCCCGTCCAGCAGGCTGTCCGCCAGCCGCCACACCTCGGCGAGGTCCGCTCGCCCGATGTCCAGGGCCGTCTGCCGGTTGTGCCGGCACAGATCGGAGGCCAGCGGCATCGTCGGGGTGGGCTCACAGGCAAAGTCACTGGCAACCATGGTCCACCAGTGGTCCTCAACCTTCTCTTGCAGCCACCTCGCGGGGATGAACCGCACGGAGTGGTCCACCTTCAGCTCGCGGGCAGTCCTCGTGTGCTCGTCCACTTCCGCCTCGTTCGCCAGGAGCAGCTCATTACGAGCGTGCTCCCCGTGTATCCTCATCACCCTCGAGTAGTCCAGGGAAGACCACCTGCGCGGAATGGGCACGGTGACTCGCTGGAGAGAGGCGAACCAGAGCAGGTCGCCCTTCGGGCTCCAGCACGCCCCGCACGTGCGCGGGAAGGGCAGCTCGCCCCTGGCACGCCCCCGCTGGGCTCCCGCCTCGGAGGCCGGGGACCGCGCCTCCTGGGACTTGACGCCGGGCAGCCGCGGGGGGCAGTCGCGCCGGCGGAGCATCTGCGCCAGCGCCTCCACGCAGTCGCACAGCCCCTGCCCTCCCTGCATGAGGTCCTGCAGCGACACGTATCTCCGGAAGGTCTCCTCGATGGTGCCGGGCGCCAGCGGACCATCGCAGCCGCCCTTGAAGTCCTGCCAGTCCACCCTGTGACTGACGCCCTCTCCTGGGTCCGCCTTGTCCCAGGGGGGCTGCTCGCGCGCGAGTCGCGCCGCGACGCAACTCCTCGCCGCCGGGGCCGCGGGGTCGACGCCGATGGTGACCACGGGGCGCATGAACTTGCCGGGCTCCACCTCGATGGCCATCTCGATACGGAGCCGGTACTCGACTCGGCCCTCCGTCATCTCCCGGTAGCTGGTGGGGTGATACTCCACGAACTGGCTCTTCTTCAGGAGCTCCTGAAGATTGGCGAGGCACCCGAAGAAGATGTCGTCCTCGTGCACGGTCCTCATCGTTGGCACCCTCTGCGTCATCCGATCGGCCAGCGGCGAGGATGCCGGCCCGATCTCCGGCGTCATGAGCGGCGACATCGGCGACGACTGCTTCGGCTCCAGCCGCGGCATGGCAGCCACCGTGTCCAGCTGCATGGCAACTGGGGGGCGGAAGTTCCAGCTGGCCAGAGTGCGGCCGGCCTGGCTCATGGACACCAGGCGCCACTCCCCACCCCCGCGCGGTGCGAAGCAGACGCTGCTCACGGCGTGCTCGTGCTCGTGCCTGTGGAGCTCCGCCACGGCCCTGCGGCCCGAGCCGCCGTCCAGGGAGAGGACCACCACGGACTTGTCCACCGCCACCAGGACTGCGGGGCCGAAGGGCAGGAAGCGGGCGGCGCTGGGCATGCCGTTGTCGATGTCGATGCAGGTGTGGGTCCTGGCGGGCGAGTCGGCGTCCCAAATCTTGGCGACGTCCCACACCTTGATGCTGCCGACGCAGCCGCCAGAGCCGCGCGGCTGGGCGGAGACGCTCAGGAGCGTGTCCCTGTCGTGCAGGCTCCAGTCCACCGCCAGCACGCGGCTCTGCCCGGGGGCGAGCACGCTCATGTGCTGCGACGAGCTGCGCGTGTCCCACACGCAGATGGTGTCCTCGTGCCCTGATGGCGGCAGGTGGAAGCCTACGCCTATGCTTGGGTCGGGCATGCTCTCCTGCAGGCGGGCTTTGGACGAAAACCAAAAAAATAGTCACAAAAATCAACCATAGCCAAGAATAGTCCAAAAATTATCCCCATACGATCGCTTGACCCTCTTCGAATCTTCCTCCTGTGGAGGGACAGGCCCGGCTTCCGCCTGTGCCTGCTGCCACCCCCCCCCCCTGTGCCCCCTCTCGGGAAGGGGGAGCGCACGTCCGGCCCCGTGCCCCCTGGCGCGTGAAGGCCCAGCAGGATGCCCGAGGCGGTCTGGCAGGGCCTCTGCTTCGGGGATGGACAGAACCCCCTTCAGTAAAACGTGGTTTAGTGAAAACTCCCTGAGGCCCAAACCTGGCGGGCGCAAGCCTGGAGAACGACGGCCGCGGCGCCCTCTCGAGATCCAAAAACGGAGAATTCACTAATCGACGTGTCAGGGTGGGGGTTCTGTCCACCCCCGACTGCTGCCTTCCAAGACCTCACTGCACCGACCTTGCAGACGTGCTGCAGCGGATTGCTGCGCGGATTGCTGTCCTTGCACAACGCCGAAACGGCGAGTGAAAACCGAAGTGAATTTCGCGTGGATTTTTTTGTTAGTCGTCTTTCCTGACCAAAAAAACCCACACGAAGTTCACCTCGAAATCGGGAACGAAACTCTCCAGGACACTCTGGGTCCATCCTATCGTTTTCCGGACGAAGTCCGCTCTGCGATGCTAGCGCATCGCCCCTCCCCTGTCCTTCAACAAAAAAAAACCGTGGGCCCACGCAGATAGAAATGGATCTGGCCTCCCGACGCCACGATCCCTTGCAAAAACACTGGCTCCGCGCTCCCGAGGCCACGATCCATCGTGAAAACACTGGGTCCAAACTCACGACGGCCCAAAAAGCCCCAGAGGCTCCAAAGAATTCCCCAAGAGGATGAATTCAAACTGACCTGTCGAACCCTTCCCCAAAAGGTGGCCCCCGAGATCGTCAGCAGGCCCCTGAAAGGCCCCCAAGGGGCGCCCGGGGGCGCAAAAGACCCCACCAGGAGGTCCCAAAAGGCCCCCAAAAGGCATCAAGAGGCCCCCAAGAGGCCTCCCTGAGGTACCCAAATACCACCTGGAGGCCACCGAGAGGCCTCCCAAGAGGCTCCAGAAAGCCTCCAAATGAGGCGTCGCGTGCACGACCCAGCTTGGCCCCAAGAATAACCCAAAAAACAATGGAGAGGTCTGATCCTCATCCTCCCGTTTTCCTCCTCCTCCTCCTCCTCCTCCTCCTCCTCCTCCTCCTCCTCCTGCTCCTGCTCCTGCTCCTCCTCCTCCTCCTCCTCCTCCTCCTCCTCCTCCTCCTCCTCCTCCTCCTCTGCTCCTCCTCCTCCTCCTCCTCCCCCTCCTCCCCGCCTCCTCCCCCTCCTCCTCCTCCTCCTCCTCCGTCTCCTCCTCCTCCTCCTGCTCCTCCTCCTCTTATGATTGGCGCTATTGTTCTATTAGCATGAATATAAGTACGGTTAGCATCATTAGCATGATCATTAGCAGTATACTTACCAGTGCCATTACTAGTAGTAACGTTACTAATGTTAACAATGAAAATACTAGCAATACTATTAGTTTAATCATTCATATGTATATGCTTATCCGTGGTAAAAGTAACATTGGTATTATCCCTGATAATAGTATTAGTTGTCGTAATGGTACTCGTAGTAGCATCAGTATCGGTATTCGTATTAGTCGCATCATCAATCCTATTCGTAATCGTCTTATTCTTCGTCTGGGTACAAGTACGATCAGTATTATCAGTACTGTTATTAGTAATAATACGATTATCACTATTATAACAATAGCACTAATATCAGCATTAATGATAGCATTCGCATTTTTCTTGAAACTACATCAGATTAAGATTAGCATTAGTATGATGAGTATGCTCCGTTGCTAGTAATATGATGAATAGTAATATTAGTGTTGGTTTTCTTGTTAGTAGCTTTAGTCGTACGATTAGTCTTCGTTGTCATATTTTCTTATTCCTAATACGCTTAGTCCCCATATCCAAAGGATGGGTTCCTTGTTATTCCCCATATCCAAAGGATGGGGTGATTGTTCCCCATATCCTAAGTATGGGGTTCTTGTAATTCCCCATATCCAAAGAGATGGGGTTCTTGTTCCCCATATCCTAAGATTGGGGTTCTTGTTATTGGCAGACCGCGCCGGAGGAACACAGGAGAACAGGAACACCCTCACCTCCTCTCATCAGACCCACTCATCACTCGGACTCAGTCATGACTCAGACTCATCACTCATCACTCAGACTCACTCATCACTCAGACTCACTCATCACTCAGACTCACTCGTACTTGTACTCATACATTCACTACACTCACTCAGGTCCACTCATCGGATGCCTCACACACACACACTGATGTTGAGGATGTCTCAGGCGATTCGCTCGGGCCCCGTTCGCGGAATTGTGTGGGGATGTCTCGAGCGGTTTGCCTGTTTTCTGTCCCAACTTCCTTCCCTTTCGGAGCAGATTTGGAGGATGTCTCGAGCGAGGCGCTCATTTTCACGTTCCTAAGGGGAGCGGCGGGGGGGTATCTCACTCGGTCCCGTTCGCGGGATTTTGTGGGGATGTCTCGAGCGGTTTGCCTGTTTTCTGTCCCAACATCCTTCGCTTTTGGAGCAGATTTGGAGGATGTCTCGAGCAAGGCGCTCATTTTCACGTTCCTAAGGGGAGCGGCGGAGGGGGCATTGCACTCGGCCCCTTTCGCAGGATTTTGTGGGGATGTCTCGAGCGGTTTGCCTGTTCTCTGTGCCAACATCCTTCGTTTTCGGAGCAGATTTGGAGGATGTCTCGAGCGAGGCGCTCATGTTCACCCCCCAGGTGGGCCAGATTTTGAGGATGTCTCGATCGGTTTGCTTGTTTTGGTGGCCAGGCTCGTGGGCGCAGATTCTTCTCAGGATGCCACAGGAGGCTCCAACAGGCTCCAGGAGGCCCCAGGAGACCACATGAGGTCCCAGGAGGCATCAGGAGGCCACAGAAAAACTCAAGAGGCCACAGGATGTCCCAAGAGGCTCCAGGAGGCCCCAGGAAGCTCCAGAAGGCCTCAGGAAACCACAGGAGGCCCCAGGAGGCAACAGGAAACGCCAGGAGGCCTCGGAAGGCAACAGGAGGCCCCGAGAGGCCGCAGGAGCAGGAGGCCTCAGAAGGCAACAGGAGTGGCTCCAATCCCATGTGTTTTAAGTATTCTCCTATCGATTGGGCCTCACCTGGAGCACGATTCTTTGATGTTATACGTATGTTTCTATCGATTGTCCTTCTCCTGTGTACACAATCCTACATGTTTTACTTATGTCCCTATATATTGGGCCTCTCCTGGGGAACGAGTCCTTGGTGTTTTACGCGTGTTCCTATACATTGCCCTTCTCCTGTGGCTCTAATCCGCAATGCTTTATGTACGTCAGTTGCTATATATTGCGCCTCTCCTGGGGCACGGAACCTCCCTAGGAGGTCCCAGGAGGCCCCAAGAGGCTCCTGGAGACCCCAGGAAGCCCCAGTAGGTTTCAGGAGGCCCCAGGAGGCCCCAGGCTCATGCACAAAGACGCGCTCGTACTACTGAGGCTCATTCACACTCCAATTCATTCGCAGTTAGATTTATGTCCAGACCGTCACAACTGAAGCCCGTGTATATTCGAAAGCTCTTGTGCCTAGACATTCACGGCGGACAGGTCCATGCGAATAGATGCACATATGGGGAGCTCCACGCAGTGAATAATTATTGGCAGACCGCGCCGGAGGAACACAGGAACACCCTCATCTCCTCTGACTCACTCATCACTCAGACTCACTCATCACTCGGATTCAGTCATGACTCAGACTCATCACTCATCACTCAGACTCACTCATCACTCAGACTCACTCACACTCAGACTCACTCGTCACTCAGACTCACTCGTACTTGTACTCATACATTCACTACACTCACTCAGGTCCACTCATCGGATGACTCACACACACACACACACACACACACACTGATGTTGAGGATGTCTCAGGCGATTCGCTCGTCTCAGCACTCTAAGGGGAGCGGCGGGGGGGTATTGCACGGGGTCCCGTTCGCGGAATTTTGTGGGGATGTCTCGAGCGGTTTGCCTGTTTTCTGTCCCAACATCCTTCGCTTTCGGAGCAGATTTGGAGGATGTCTCGAGCGAGGCGCTCATTTTCACGTTCCTAAGGGGAGCGGCGGGGGGGTATTGCACTCGGTCCCGTTCGCGGGATTTTGTGGGGATGTCTCGAGCGGTTTGCTTGTTTTCTGTCCCAACATCCTTCGCTTTCGGAGCAGATTTGGAGGATGTCTCGAGCGAGGCGCTCATTTTCACGTTCCTAAGGGGAGCGGCGGGGGGGGTATTGCACTCGGCCCCTTTCGCGGGATTTTGTGGGGATGTCTCGAGCGGTTTGCCTGTTTTCTGTGCCAACATCCTTCGTTTTCGGAGCAGATTTGGAGGATGTCTCGAGCGAGGCGCTCATGTTCACCCCCCAGGTGGGCCAGATTTTGAGGATGTCTCGATCGGTTTGCTTGTTTTGGTGGCCAGGCTCGTGGGCGCAGATTCTTCTCAGGATGCCACAGGAGGCTCCAACAGGCTCCAGGAGGCCCCAGGAGACCACATGAGGTCCCAGGAGGCATCAGGAGGCCACAGAAAGACTCAAGAGGCCACAGGATGTCCCAAGAGGCTCCAGGAGGCCCCAGGAAGCTCCAGAAGGCCTCAGGAAACCACAGGAGGCCCCAGGAGGCAACAGGAAGCGCCAGGAGGCCTCGGAAGGCAACAGGAGGCCCCGAGAGGCCCCAGGAGCAGGAGGCCTCAGAAGGCAACAGGAGTGGCTCCAATCCCATGTGTTTTACGTATGCTCCTATCGATTGGGCCTCACCTGGAGCACGATTCTTTGATGTTATACGTATGTTTCTATAGATTGTCCTTCTCCTGTGTACACAATCC